GTTGTTTTCTTCTCCTTTGACTTCCACAGTAAGGCATGGTGGAAACAGTTCTTGGAGCACCACTGTTTTAGCATTTTGGTCTCTCTCTTAATTGCCCAGGTGAGAACTTTTGGTTCCAGATAATTATTTACCTTCATTTTCTTCATGCGTGATCTTCCTTGCTCTTACCATGCTAAGAAATTTTAGATTTACTGCAAGAATTCTTGTTTCCTCAAATTTGGTGGTAATCTCACCATGGTTTAATCCTAATTTATTTGTTTTTAATTTTTAAAAATATTTTTGCAGCAGTAAAATGGTCTATTTGTTTAGATTGCTATAGAGTATATAGCAATTTGGTTATGAAAGCTAAAAATTCTGCCTTATTTTGTTGATCGGAGACGGAGAAATGCCACTGTTACCTTGTGGTTGATCACCCCTTGTTCCTTTTGAGAGGTCTTGTGCCTCCATTATTTTACTTTTTATTTCTTCAGCTGCATGCAGCCTCAGTGGAATGTAAAATTTTGGAGCCTGCACCGGGAGAAAATTACGGTGCTTAAATCTTTGTTTTATGCTTTCCTTTTTGGGTTATGATCATTAATTGTTTCTAGCAGACGTGGGTTAGGCCAGATGGTCAGGGTTTGTGCCCCTTCTTGCACTCAAGTTGGAATCTTGGCCCCCCTATATCAGAATACTTCAGAATATCGGATAGTTAAAAGAACGGCAATTCAGTATTTCGAGTTTTTCTCCCTGCGTCACCAACAGCGTCTTAGTGACGCTATCAATTCATTTCACCTTCATTTTTAAGGACACTGTTACTCTAATGCTTTGTTTCTAGCAGACGTAGGTTAGGCGAGTTGGTCAGGGATCGTGCCTCTTCTTGCACTCAAGTTCGAATCCTCCTCCCCATAGATCAGAATGCTTTAGAATACCGGATAGTTTAAAAAAGGGAAATTCAGAATTTCGATTTTTATTCCTGTGTTACCAACAGCGTCTTAGTTAGGCAATCAATTCATTTCACTTTCATTTTTAAGGACATTGTTTGTTACTCTAATGGTTTGTTTCTTTTATAAGTTACTGATAGTTTTCTACATGCTTAATTGGTTCTCCGTTTCTGTTCTTGAATAGTGACCCGAAATCATGGACCACAAGGCTTGGCTTTGGAGGAAAAAATCTTCAGAGAAGACAATTCTTGCAGCTAACAAAGTTGCCACTCCTTTGGGAAGAATTGAAGAAGAGGTAACCAATCACTTTGCGTTTCGGATCAACCAATTTGTTTCCCGAGTATAATACTGTTTCGTTTCCCCCATTTTGTCTGTCTTGTGCGCAGCAATTGTCCGCGGATATGCAGCTTATATGTTCATTTGACTTGCGCATCTGTTGTTTTTGTTTTGAGCCTTTTATAGTATACAATCCATCTATGTGCATATATTGGAGTAGTTTACTGGGGGAGCAAACATGTTTTAATCTGATTATTGTACTGCCGATGTTTTATCATGTTAGGTACAGACATTTTCATATCCAGCTGAGAAAGGAAGCGAAACAGAGAGATCAAGGAAAAATCTAAATGAGAAGTTGGCTTCAGTTCTCCTAGACTGCACCGTAAAAGAAGATCCCGTTCCAGAACATGCAAAACCGGAAGAAGAAGCTATAGCAGGTGATTGTAAGTTATTCTTCTCTTTCCATGGCTTACAAATCTTTCTTTACAAGCTTCGTTGTTTTTTATATCATCGGTAAAACCCCTATTTTTCTCATTGAATGCTCCTTTTGAGTTTTTGCTGATTGTATAAATAACTATTGTTTCAGGTAGTGAGAAGGCAGGAGAGTCGGTTTTAAAGCAAGAATTAGAGGAACCTTTGAGGCAGGGAGTATCCACAAATGAAAGATCAACTCATTCAGATGATGCGTTGAACGAATGCATGCAGCAGCTAAAGTTTGTTCGGGAAGAACAGGAGCAAAGAGTACATGAAGCAGTTATGATGACATCAAGAGAGTATGAGAAGGCACAGAGAAAGTTAGAAGAGAAGTTGAGAGAGACAAGTGAACAGCTTACAAACTTGGTTGCTGAAAATACTAATTTGAACAGAGCCCTTCGAGCAAAAGACAAATTGATCGAAGATTTGAATAGACACAAGTCTCAAACTGATGCAGAATTCAGTGCACTAATGGTTAGACTGGATTCCACAGAAAAGGAAAATGCTTTTCTAAGATATGAATTTCACATGCTTGAGAAGGAACTTGAGATCCGAAGTGAGGAGATGGAATACAACCGTCGGTCAGCTGCAGAATCGCATAAACAACATTTGGAGAGTGTGAGGATAATCGCAAAGTTAGAACAAGAATGTCAGAGACTTCATCTCCTTATGCGAAAGCGGCTGCCAGGTCCTACTGCTTTGGTGAATATGAAGAGTGAGGTTCAAATGCTGGGAAGGGATCAGACCGAGATGAGAAGAAGAAAGCAGAATCCCACAAGGGATATGGTTGTAAAAGATGCCAACATGGGAAGTTCTCCTGAAATTTCAAATAAGAAGATGAGTCTCGTGATTGAGCAATTACGAGATTTGGAAGAAGAAAACAAAACTCTTAGAGAAATTTTAACAAAGAAAAACGCCGAACTCCTTTCTTCAAGGACCACATATTCTCGAACAGCTTCCAGATTGTCACAGGCCGAGACTCAGCTTGGAGAGCTTTCTAAATTCCAGAAATCTATGGAGTTGGTACCATATAATGACATTTCTCGATATTCAAGGTTTGACATTGGCAGCGATGATAGCTCGTCCGAATCTTGGGCTAGCGCTCTAATTTCAGAGTTGGAACATTTTAAAAACGAGAGACTTAAAAGTCCACAGGAATGTTCAGACATTAGCTTAATGGATGATTTTGTTGAGATGGAGAAATTGGCAATAGTTTCTGCTGGTAAACCTCCCAACAATGGGCATCAACATTGTTTTACCGGTAGGGAGCTTGTACCGGTTGAAGTCAATTCCGACAGTGACAAGAGAAAGCACGGTGCGTCAAAAGATTCAAGGCCAGAGAATTCTTTTGACTGGCTTCAGGTCGTTTTAAAAGCAATGTTGGAGCAAAAGAATGTTTCGAAACGAAGTTTAGATGAGCTATTTGAGGACATCAAAATTGCCTTGGGTTACATAAATCCACCAACTGACAATGGACCTCGTAGAAGTGCAGTCTCAAGGCCTAATGCAGAATCTGATCCTGTAGATTCTTTTGGTGGAGCTTTGAGTATTGACACTTCAGTGGAAGATAATGGCAGCCAACGTTGTAAAGATGCTTCAAGCATGAGGAATAAAATCAATAAGCAATTTGGTTGGCCTGAAGACCGACGAGATAATGGAGTGAGGGGTGCATCTGCGGAGCAGTTGTTGTGTCTGCCTTTAGTTGCTTCTTCAAATGAAACAAATGTTCCACTTCAATTGAATATGGTGCAGGATAAACTGCAAGAAGAAAACAGCAGATTGAAAGATGAACTAAAGAATATGGAAGCTAGCCTGCAGTCAGCAACCGAAAAGAATAAAGCGTTGGTCATACAACTTCAGGAATCACAACAAAGAATTGAAAGCTTAATGACAGAAGTGGAGAGTCTGAAAGAATCAGAGGGGGTGATGGTAGACCAGATCGAAAATCAGAAGTCGATTAATGAAGATCTTGATACTCAACTGACTGTTGCCAAAGCAAAGTTGAAACAAGTCTTCCAGAAGTTTTCTTCTTTAGAAGTTGAATTGGAGGATAAACATAACTGTTGTGAAGATTTAGAAGCAACATGTCTTGAGCTTCAGCTCCAGCTACAAAGGTAAGTTCCGGTCTCCTGATTTTTCTTTCTGCCGAAACTATGTAAAGCTTGTGTTGATTTGATTGATGAGACGACTCTGATTTGTGAAATGTTGAACTCAGTGCTGAGAAGGAGACTCTAACGCATGGCATAAACCAAGACGAAAAACAATCCCCATCCGTAAGTCCACGGGAATGTAGAAATCATCACTATCATTATATGAAAATAAGTAACCGAACACATTTGTAAACTATCTTTTAACTAGGCACAGCAATGTGACATGTTATATTTTGCAGGGATGGGAAATCACAACAGCTTCGGTGAAGCTGGCAGAGTGTCAAGAAACCATCCTAAACCTAGGAAAACAGATCAAGGCACTGACGACACCAAGGGAAGCACAACGTTTTGACAAGGTGTTCTCCACAACCAGCACTGCAGCCAATGCCACCAACAGTAACCTGAACAGGCGCTCTTCCCTGCTTGATCAAATGCTAGCTGAGGACAATCCCAAGTCTCCAAAAGATAATGAGACAACGGATGCAGATCCGCAGAAACCATCCCTTTTTCAGTCTGATAGTCACAATGCCTTGTCTACTCCTATCGCTCTGGTACATATGCCGGAAGGGCATCTAGGTTCAAGGGGTAAAGGTGGTAACAGCGCAGTTGGGAGTCTGGCTATTGTGCCGAGTAAGAAACAAGGAGGTTTTGGTTTGCTAAGGAGACTACTGCTGCGAAGAAAGAAAGGAAGCACCAAGAAACCCCAATCCTTGGCGAAAGTATGATTGCTCAAGAGCCATCATGCCTACTGAGGCAAATATGTGACTTTACGTATGCTTTTCGGTTGTTTGACAACGCTTAGCGGGTTCCCGAGAGATTTGGTTTTTTTTCTTGTGTAGGATTAGTGAGAGTGAGAGAGAACTATGACATTGTAAGTATGGTTGATGTGTATGTCTTTGTAAGTGTGAAAGCCTGTAAGATTATCACTAATCTACCCCTATTCTTCAGTTATGAATTCAATCTAATCCTAAAGATGCATTATAATTATAATCTGAGTAAACCCATCTGTAATTCCATATTTTGTTTTTGGTCAAACGATGGATTGTGTTATATTAGATGTTGCCACTGACGGGTTCGAACCCACGTCGTCATGCATGGCTCAACCTCTTTCCACCAATAGCATTAGCTGACCAATCAATCCGCGTTTTCCAGTGGAAACGTTCACAAATAAACGTTAATCTAGAAAAATTTGTCCATGCTAATGGGATGTAAAACTGTATCCCTTATCCATCACTGTTTTCAACCTCATACAACAATATAACATTCGATTAAACGTAGAGACGTTACGTCGTGCTTGTTAGGTTCTACCGATGGCTGCAGCTGCTTCCTTCATATCAAGCAAGGCCTCTTCAAAGCACTTGGCGAGAAATGCAGGGTCAGGGATGATATCTTTGGTCACCAAAATTTGCAAGTCTGCTCTTTCAACATAGCTCACCATGTGCATTACAAGTGCCTACATTACCAGCCAGAAAAATCATTCATATTCTATCACACATATATTCACATTGCATATATTTAAGTTAATCTTTGGGATTACACACACACACACATACCTGGGGCAGGCTGGATGCATTAATTCTTAGGTAAGTTACAGGGTTGCCTCCAAGTGCAAGTTCTTCTTGCGGGCCAACTATATTTGAGATAGTAAAGCTAGCATTGCACACAAGCCTGTAAAGAAACCAGGTTGCAATCTGCAGTAGAATGGATATTAATAATATTTAAAAAAAAAAAAAAAAATTAACACACCCAATTTTGTTTGGTATTCTTGAATATTTAATTAATTGTTTCAAAAGGATAAAAAGTGCAATTTGTTAAGAGAAATTCTAAGACCATCTTCTACTCTTGAGTTAAAATCTAAAATTTTTAACTTATAAATAGTTTTTTTGCTCCAACTTTTTTGGATTAAATTTTAAGATTGAGAATATTAAAAAATGAATTTAGGATAATTTTTTCTTTAAAGTAACTTTAAAAAAATTATTATATAGACTATGCTAATTTAATTTTATGAACATTTTAATATAAAAATATTTAAATTCTGATAAATATTGAAAAATCACTAAACTGATACAATTAAATTCGTGGAACACTATGAAAGAATATGAAACACATGAAATAATTTTTTTAATTATTTTAGCAGGTGGATTTAAATTTGGACCATTAGATTTTTTTTCTTACTGTTGAATTTGATCATATTATATCTTAGCCGTTTGATTCAACAAATCTATAAATATAAAACTAAAAAAAACTCAGGGGAATTCTAGGTTAAATTTACCCCATAAATGAGTTTTGGGTTAAAACTCATATTTGACCAAAGGGTTGGAGTAGGTTGAGGTAGATTTTGAACCTAAAATTTGAGTTTTACTTCACGGGTTGGAGTAGGTCTCAAAGTGAGACTCGATATGGACTGGCCGCCACCTCATATTTTTGGTACAATATTTTATAATATTAGTGAGAAAATTATGCAAAAAACATAAAGTGAAAGAGAGTCTCAATTTTGAAAAAGTTTCCTTAACATTTCTCTTTTTGTTATCCTCACCTTTTGTCCAAAGTAGGTCATAAAAAAGCATGCAATTTTGTTTGAGAAATGAGCCTCCACAGATTTTTTCTTCCTGTCAAGCATCACCTTATTTCTCTTCAGACACTCAAGAGGATCAGTGCCGCTGCTCTTATGGCAATGAATAGGCAGGTGAAACATGCCGAATTTGTTACCCCAACTTGACCCAGAAGATTTCATCATATCGGATACCTGATCACATGTTCAAGCTTTTTAACTGTAAAACTGTACAGCCAAATTCAGCAAATGATTTTTGTTCGAATTCAATCCAATTCCATTTTTGACAACGTTAATTCAAACCCTGTAAGTGAGGGCCTTTTTAAAAATAATTATTCAATCAATACAAAAATTCGGAGCAACAATGTAAAACTTTCGGTTGCAAACTAAGCACATTTGCTTTGGATGATTTTATTTTTTTTAGTTTGGGGAGTATTTGGACATGAAAGCTTAAAGGTGTTTTTAAGATTATATTTTGTGCAACTAATCTGAAATCATTTTTTTAAAGGAAAACTAATGGAAAGGGCTTGAAAACTTTGAGTTTTAACGATAAGGACAAAATAAAGGGTAAAATGAATAGTACCATGTTTGATTTTTTAGTGTAAAAATGTGGTTTTTCGTTAAAGTGAACAGTACCGCGGGCTTTTCGTTAAAACTCCCTTTTTTTAATGGGTGAAACTTATGATTAGGCCAATTTCGATTATAAAGATCTTTAAATAGGCTCATCATGTTTTCTTTCTATTGTAATGAGTATTTTTCAAGTGCAAAGTTTTGAGCCAATACTTGGATGCCTTCCAAGTGAAGTGACTCTAAGAACAAAAATGTGACCCTTATTTTGATTCTTATAATGATTTTGTTGCTCGAAAATTTTCTATTGATTGAATAATTTATTTAAAAAGGATTAATTAGAGTTGTAGAAAATGGAATTGAGGTTGGTTTAGTGTGTAAGTTAGAGGTAAACAAATGTGTAAAAAATAAAATGTCTAAATACCCTTATGTTTAACAACCCTTTAACAGAATGAGTGAAGTGAGACCAAGATAGTCGAAAATGTCTGATTCAAAAGGCAAAGTGAGAAAAACTAGTTTCAAAAGGTAAATTGAGACTAAATGGTAGTTCCAGGAGGCATTTCAATTAATAAGCCAAGTTTGTGAACTATTATATTATATCAATTGCTACTTGCAAGTTGTGTCCTTTACCAATCGAGCCCGGCCAACGGTTTTGGACTGAACCGATTTTCGACAACTGTATGGTAACAATTGGTTGGTAGCATGTGGTTTTCTAAAATTTTGTTTATATGGCCGGCTGGTGGCACAATAACTTTAACACGGTTTGCCAATCGATCTAGACCTATGTAATTAATTATAAAAAAAATAACAAAAATACTACCCTTACCATCTATTTGTACTATCTATCTGATAGAGATGAGACCTTAGCATGACCTACTTGTATTTACAAAGATGATATAAATAGGTGTTATGTGTAACGTTACTCTAAAAATAAATATAAAATATATAAAGTTACAAACCTCCATTCCAGGCTGCTGTCTTAAATTTACCATGGCCAGCCCAGTAATTCGAAGTCCCTCCGACAAAACTGACGAGAAGAACAATTGGGTTTAGATTAAGATACGTGATCGAATGCCATTGAACTGATATAATTCAAATGAGACGTTCAAGAAAATTGAGGACCGAAAATATGGGTTGCCTTTAAATTCTGATCCCTTTCGGTGTTGTACAAGAAAATTAAAGACTGCAAAAATGGATTGCCTTTAAATTATTATACCTTTTGGTGTTTGGTGACTTAGGTATATTGACAGCCCAGATGAAACAACCGCAACAAGGACATCATTTATGGTCTGCATGGTGGCATAAAAAAAAGGGTCTTTAGATATAGACCCTTGCAACTTTTATTTCCTATATAAACACTCACCTAATTATAAACATCCAAATAAAACTCAAATTTAAAAGTGATTGCCATGTAGGAAAGTAATTGACCTATTAATACAAAATATTTACAACTTGTACCACAATATTCAAAATAAATTAATAAATATTATTGCTCACCTTAATTACAATGAACAAATAATTTATTGCATATTATTACCCCTAACACACACATATATACACATATATACACATATATAAGTTCAAATGTATATAGTACTACCATAAGCTCAATATATATATAGTTTACCTATATATATATATAGTACTACTATACATTAAGAAAAAAAACATATATATATATGTATGTATGTATGCATGCACAGTACTACATATTTGATCAAACATATTATACTAATTAATATACCTATATGTAAATTTACGATGAGCAAATAACATATATTTTGTAGGTATTTTATTTTGTGTGCATCATCATATATATTGGGCACATTTTATTATTATATGTACAAAATAATGGGTAAGATGGTATTGAATAAAATAATAATTTTTTTTTTTACGTAGGTACATTATTTTGCATACATTGGGTTTGCTTTATTATGTAGGTAAATTATTTTGCATGTATTTTACATATAGTGGGGAAATTATTTTGCTTTTTTTTTTTTAAGCAATCTAACATTTTAAAATTCAAATAGTAGGTGCACTAAATCAAATAACATTTTCTCTAGGTAAATTATTTTGCATGAATTTTTACGTATACCAGCCATGTTTTTTTTTTTTGTTATATATGTGTGTGAAATAATTTACCTACATTTATATGTAAAATATAATTTGTTGACTTAACTAAGCATGTATTATTACATATATTAGGCATGTTTTGTTGTTATTATATATTAGGCAATAAATTTATTGTTTTTTTATTTTTGTAAAACCATTAATTCTCCCTTACAATCCGTATGGAACTAATTGTGTACATCAAACATTTAAATAGGGGTGTTTTGGGCATCAAAAAATTTTAAATGTGTAAAGTCAAATATAATTAATGAATTTGCTGATGTGGAATCTAGCCAATAGGTTTTATTTGAGAAAAAAAAACTTATGATGGGTTTTATGTAGAGAAAATTAAATTTTAAGGGTTAAAGTACTTATTTGGATTCAAATGAATTAGCTTTTTATTTGCTCACATTTTGCAACACCAATTTATGTTAAGTATCTTATATAAGAAAATATTTTGGTAAAGACTTTTCGGTACATTTATGTTTTTGCATATTTTTTTATGTGCCACTAATTTATTACAATATTTAGGTGTGAACATTTTGGTAAACTAGTTTAGCATAATATGTTTAGATACGGACAATTCGGTACACTAGTTTAGTATAATATATTTATGTATGGACATTTTGGTATACTAGTTTAGTATAATATATATATATGTATAGGTACGGACATTTTGGTAGACTAGTTTAGTATAATATGTTTGTTAACTACATTGGAGAAGTAGTAGAGATGAACAATTATAAAATCAAGAAATGAAGTTTTACAGAGAGAAGAGAAATGTGATAAAGAAATGAATGAAGCTTTTGTATTAAACTCAATGAACTCACTGTACTATCTGTTTACAATAGCTATATATAGCTAACTAGAGGACTAACTAACTATTTCAACTAACTATTACATCATCGAATCCTTTACTACTGTTTTGATGAGCTGGCAGAGATGAGTTGGCAGTGATATATTCAACAATGTTTTGGTAGAGACATTTTGGTACACTAGTTTAGTATAATATATTTAAGTGCAGACATTTTGGTACACTAGTTTGGTATAATATGTTTAGGTACAGACTTTTCGGTACACTTATGTTTTTGTATATTTTCTTATGTGCCACTTATTAATTATAATATAGTTAGGTAGCAACATTCTAGTACACAAATTCAGTAAAATATATTACGATACAGATATTTAGTTACACTAATTATAGGAGTAAAACAAAATTAATGAATTAAAATGTGTCCAATAATAAAATTAAAATTTAAGTAGAGACATTAAATAAGATATTCATTAAATATTTAAACAAAAGTATAATATAAGTTTGAATTAAGTACGTAGAAAAATGACTAAAATTATTATGTAATTTAACAACAAATTTTTATTAAATTTTAATTTTCTTTAAAGATTAAAGTTTAAAATCTCTAAAAACAATTACTTACAAAATCTTCAAACAAACAACTCATTAATCAAGGTGGACTAATTTCATCCTAAAAAGACACACCACGATGACGAAAAACGGAAGCGAGTCGCCCTATGCGCCACCATGTTTGCTTACATTAAACAAACAAGAAAAAAATGACAACAAATATAAGTTTGTGGTTTGTATATGTAAAAATACATTGCTGTAGTTAGACATTAGGCACATTCAAACATTAATTATTATTTTTTCATAACCAACCTACCTTGGTTCAGTCATGCATAGGGATGAAAATTCAAACCGTTAAACTTGATAACTGCGCACAAATAATTGAACGAATGGGCGGATTTGAAGATATGTGGAAAAAATGTCGATAATATTCGGTTACGATTTCAAATATGACTATAGGGGTCCTCGATCCGTATCTGTCACCAAATCTACCCCGAATAATGTATATTATACATACAAGATAACATAATATATTTTATTATTTATATATATGTATATTCATAAGTATTGAAATTATTTGATAATTTGTTTCGTCTTCTCTTGTAGTGGCTATTAAGAATATTTGCCTTCATCATCCCTTTTCTTTTTCATTGGACCAATTTACCTTACTTTATTATCATAAATACTTCCAAAAAGTATTGTTATATTTTTTATATATGGATATTTAATGATCGAACCTATATCTATTAATTTATAACGTGTAACGAATAATTTTTTGCATTGATGAAGATGGATATAACCATTAACTAATGAGGAATCCGTTACCCGGTGATTATGATTATGGATAAAAAAAATTAAGGATTTTTCACATATAAAATGTTGGCAACTTAACACTATAGAGAAAATTGTTATGAGCGCCATGATTTAGAAAAATAAAAAGTAAATATATCCAAAAACAAACAATTGGTCACGGAGTTTTTACTTACGTAAGTATATATATATGTGTTTTTTTTAATGTATAGTAGTACTATATATATATATAGGTAAACTATATATATATTGACCTTATGGTAGTACTATATACATTTGAACGTATATATGTGTATATATGTGTGTGTTAGGGGTAATAATATGCAATAAATTATTGTTCATTGTAATTAAGGTGAGCAATAATATTTATTAATTTATTTTGAATATAGTGGTACAAGTTGTAAATATTTTGTATTAATAGGTCAATTACTTTCCTACATGGCAATCACTTTTAAATTTGGGTTTTATTTGGATGTTTATAATTAGGTGAGTTTTTATATAAGAAATAAGAGTTGGAAGGGTCTATACCCCAAAATTTACAATATTTTTCATATAATTTAATTCATGGACACCATAAAATTATACAAAAGAAAGGAGATTAAATGCATATGTGACATTAAATAGAGTCTAGAAGCTAAAATTAATTTATCCAATTTATATACAATATTTTTATCCAATTTGTGTAAAATATATTTTACACTTTCGTCTTATTTACTGATTAAAATTTAATTTTCTATTGTTTTTTAGCATGAGTGGCCCTTTTTACTTCGGGATTTTTTTTCAAGTGATTTACCCGGAAAGAAGATTTTTTCAGGGCCACAGCTTGTACGTACCGTACTCTATGTACTCGACTTGTTTCGTTTGCTTATCGAATGAAATCACTTACCGCATTTGGAACAGTTTTCTTGACGAGCTTCATGTCGTGAAGGCCAAACCTAGCCGTGGCCAACTTCCTTGGCCACAGCTCGACTCCACTGCCGCCACTTATCTCAGTTTTCCGGTCAGAAAGCCACAAGCTCCTCATCAGAAACTCCACCACAAATACCATGTTAAACCACAGCATCTCCACAAACTCTAGCAACCAAACCCACGACCTCTTCCCACCAGTGAAACCTACTAGTCTCTTTGATCTCTTCCCACCAGCAGAAGGCAAAGTTGGTATGTTAATATTCTTTTCTTCACCATTCACCAATTTCACCTCCTTCACAAACCCACCACCTAAACCCTTTTCTTCGTCATCTTTTTGGTCAACTTCCCTGAAACTCGCCAAGAACAGTGACATGAGCGACATTCCATCTCCCAATGCATGGTGGATTCGGAAGACGCAGCAGTTATGGGCCATGAGAAGGTGAAGTTCCCAGAGGGGTTTGTCGACGTCGGTGCCTAGTATTCCAGCACAGGTGGTGGAAAGGTCGGCCAAGTAGGCATTGACAGCAGTCTCGTGGTCAACGGATGGTGATGTGGTGAGGACAGGATTGTTGATGACGACAATGTGGCGGTCGAGGTCGACGCTGGGGGTGGTCTTATGCCAGTGCTGGGGGCCGTTGGATTGGCGAAGCAAGAGGCTTGAGAAACGTGGGTGGGAGAGTAGGAGAGAGGTTTTGAGGTGGGACTTGACGGCATCTATGTTTATAGGGTTTGTGAAGCCCATGGCGCAGTGGATTATTTGGTTCATTTCAGGTTGGAGGAAGAACCGACCTAATGGGGTTAGAGGCTCGTTGAATTCGGAGGAGTCAGCAGCCGACAAACCCATGAGAGAGAGAGAGAGAGAGAGAGAGAGAGAGAGTGGAGGGAGGTTTTGATGCCCGTGCCCAGCTGCTAGCAAAAGACTGAATTATGCACTGACCACTAGCTTTTAGGGCCGATTGACATATATAGAAGCGAAGTGTAGAAATAGAGAAGTTTTTAGGGGGACCGGGTAGACAAGAAGCTGGAGTTCCGCACCTATTGCAAACTTACATCTAGAAAAGTAATTTTTATTCAACCATGCTGTGAGTGCCTTTCCCTCCTCTGTGAGAGTTAATTTCTTTTGTTTAGTTGTTTTGTTCCATCTCTCAACCATTATTATCCCTACCACTATTTATTGCTTCTGGAGTTGTGGTGCGTATTTCACTTTTCCTCTATGAGCTTCCCTTGGTGATTAATTGCACCTCACCAATTTTAATGAAGGGGGTTGGGAAAAGTGGTTAGCCACCTCCTTTACCCGCATTACATTAAGATTTGGGTATTACAACTATTTGTAGATTGCAACTTTTCAGCGATCTTAATTCTTCTGCTGCTGCTGAAAGGTATTGCGCACTGAATCTCCCGTTTGTAGTTGCTTTATTTTCTTATCACACAGCGAACTGCAAAGAAGGGATCTGGGGGGACACTGTTTCGAGTATTCGAATGTCAAGTCTAGTCTCAGGAGAGCTCTGATTCAGAACTGCAAAAAACCAATGGAGTGGTCAGAAGTGGAGGATTTGGTGGTGCATCTGGACCAATCTCTAGAGCTTACAACTATGGAAAACGGGATCAAGTTGGTGGGGCTGGCTCTGACAAGTATTAGGCCTTCGTCCTCCTTTCTTTCTTTAGGCCTTCATTGAGCCTTTCTCAGGCCTGCACTATTTTTGGGGTCGAAAAGTTCCCCACATTAATACAATAAAAACAAAATTCAAAAATTTCTTACAAATTTTCTAAATTTCATTTCTCTCTTACAAACTTCACATATTTTAGAAATTGCACGAATTCCTGCCAATTTCATATATAATTTTCCTACAAATTTTACATATTCCTACAATGCACTACAAATTTCACAAATTCAAAGAAAAAAAAATAGAGTTAATAATCACCTAAAGTTGAATGGATGAGAGAGAGAGCGAGTAGAGAGAACTTTTGACAACTCGAACTGTAACTACAAGAAATCATGGATTTGATGAAGGAATTTTTTGTGGCGCGCAAAAATTTATCACATTTGGGTAAAATAAGTGACGCTTTTTAAGAAACCGTCACATAATAATATTCATGGGATACCAAAATACTTTGCGTCACATAAACTTTTGAATTCGCCACAAACTATTGGGCAGGAAATTTTACCGCTTAATGAAATTTAATATGCGATGAATCTTTAAAATTCATCACATAACAAAAAAAAGGCCACGTTATGCCATTCGTCACATATAGTATTAAAATAAAAAATAAAAATATACCGAAGAAATAATATCAAAACCCTAAAGTGTAAAACCTATTTCACTTAGTTGTCTGTTCTCACCCATTCCAGCCGTCTTCAGCTCCTCTTTGCTTACTGTCTCACCCTAACTCCGACGACCAACCACTGGTGGTTGCCAGTGACGGCGACAATCACTCTCCTTCGTCTTCCTTTTTCTGCCACTCTCTCAGTATCATCTGTTGCTCGTTCTCTAACTCTCTTCTCTCTCTAACATAACAGGACCCGAATTGGGGAAAGAGAGATTCGGTTTTCTATCGAGTTCGTCAGGCGACAACAAGGTACTTATTTATTTCCCTATATTTCTTTAATTGTCTTTTGGATTTTCTTCTTCAATTTGTTATTTGGTTGCTAAGCTTAGACACCCAGTTATCAATTTCCTTTCTCTTTCGAAAATCAATGAATAATGGGTGAAACTGTATAGTTTTAACCAGATCCACCGAATGTGAAACTTTAATTTTAATTTGCTACTATTTCATTGCCTTGGATTTTTGTGACTGCTAGTGGTGACAAAAAAAAGCAATGAGCAGATGGACATGGGAAGTACATAACTTTCTGGATGAATGTTAAGAGTGTACGATCACCTTCATACGCTCAACCCAATCTGATAGGATTGAAGTTTCTTTTCAAAGTTTTTCTATTATTTTTTTTTTCTAAATTTGGTTTTGAATTTGCAGGTACTGGCCTCCAGCAGTCCTTTGCTTGCACATCCGCACTCTGCAGCCTCTAATTTGGGTAAATTTGGTTTTGATTTTTCTAGATCTATATGTATTTGTGCCTGACTGTTTAATTCTATGATTGAGGATTTTTAACTAGATTTATTATTACATGTGGAGGATTTTAATCAATTTTTCTATTTGCTTTTTACTTTTCCGTATTTTTCTTTTTACTGTGAATTGTAGGATGAAATTATTTTTCTGGAATGCTTCTATTTTTCTTGTTGGATGAAATTATTTTCTAGAATGCTTCTGTTTTTCATGCAGGATGAAAACATACATAATTGTTTAAGTTACCAATACTTGACTCTCGTATGAGTGATGCGTAGATGCCGATCAATTCTTGGCTCTCATATGAGTGATGCGTAGTATAACAAGGTAGAACTAATCGGTATCTACTAATGGCAATCCACATATGTATGGATTAAATAGTTCTACCTTGTTATACTACACATCACTCATACGAGAGTCAATAATTGATCGGTACTTAATAATAATGGAACTTGTGCTTTATATTTGATTTTTTTTAGATCACTATTTAATCCATACATATGTGGATTGCCAGTGCCAATGGAGACAAAGTTGTGTTAGTTGGAATTTGAAAAGCCAGAAACAGCTGACCGCAAAAGCATATTCGTGTGTATGCTCTATTCGTCTGTCGTCAACTATGTCTACTGGTATATATATGGCAAGATACTTAACAAAAAGTGACTCAAGGCATCTCGATGACAGTAGATAGCCAAAATGGCTCAATCAGAGTAGATAGCCAAAAAACAGCTAGCCAAAGTGGTACTCAAGCTTCATATCTTGGTCTACAAAAAAATGTTGTTAGCTCTATCACCGTCTATTACCGAGAGAAATTTGTTATTGTGACTAGAACACGAGTGTTACATCACGTGTTTTTATATAAGTGATAGAAAATTTTAATAATACACATATCTCACCATTTGTGTAGTTACATGTGGTGTACCATCTCGTGTTCTGGCCACACTGAAAAGTCTCTCTATTACCAACAAGTTTTCTTGTAAAACACGCAGACAAAGTCACAGCTTTGACGTGAGAGGATATTATATTTGGAGGGACCACATCTATTATATATAAAGAGAATGGAAAAGGTGAATAGTGATTTGGTGTCACCATGCTTCAACAATTGGACAAAAATGCCCCCAAAACAAAAAACTTCCAAAACATTCCAAAATAATGCATCAAATAAGGTAAGGACATTTTTGTCATTTTAATAGTATTTTTTTAATAATTAATTTTCTTTGTGGTTTGTTTGTTTGTTTGTTTTTATTTTTTTTTATTTTTTTATTTTTTATTTTGATTAGTACCTCACAATAGGCTAGCAATAATGTGATTCAAATTTTTTCTTTTTAAACATGTTCAAAACATCTTAAGAGACATGTAATGCTGGTTATAAAAAAAAGTCATTCGCACGTGGATAATAATGTGATTAAATTAGTTATCAAATGATTGTTTTCTTTTTATTTTTTAACAAACAATATTATCTACACTAAGGAGAGGGGGAGGGGGGGTGGGCTTAGCCTTACAATGGGCTAGTAATAATATGATTCAATCAGTTGTTTATTAAATATTATTTTCTTTATTTTTAAACACGTTCAAAACATCTTAAGAAACGTGTAATGCCAGTTATAAAAAAGTCTTTTGCACGTGGATAATAATGTGATTAAATTAGTTGTCAAATGATTGTTTAAAAAAAAAAAAAAAAACAAACGATATTATCTACACTAAGAGGGAGGGGATGGACTTAGCCTTACAATGAGCTAGCAATAATATGATTCAATCAAATTTTTATTAAATATTATTTTCTCTATTCTTAATGTAATTCTATAGAGACTGATTTTATTATGTGAATTTAGCTGCTGTAATTGGTTTATGAGAGGTTTTTTCTAGCAAAATCTAAGATTATTCATTTACTTTAAATATTTGACTTTCCTTTTGCCAATTTATGCATATAAATACATTTAAAATGTGTAAGTCGTGCGTAGCATGCTGTGATTCAAAAAATGCCTTCTGAGCGCCTGAGCGCGTGCACAAAGGCTAGTAATTATAATGGGGCTGAATTGGTAGTTGCCTTTCTTTCGTATATAATATATATGTGTTCTTACTTTGTCCACTCATTTTTGTCTCGTATATATATATATATTTTTTTTTTTGTGCATAATTGTTCATGTGTCACAAATTTGGCCATTTAGGCAGATTTTTTAATTATCAATTTTGGGGTGCCGTGAAAAAGGAAGATAACAATATATACAGTGATATGTGACATTTGAGAATAATTCATAGGCAAAGGGTCCATCTGAAAAGAGGACCACATAACCTAACACTTGTCCTATAATACTAGTTTGTATATGGTTCAATTTTAGTAGGTTGAGTCTGCATGTCCTAACTTAATTCAAGTCGCTATTCGATACCTAACCTCAAATCTAAATTACTAATTTCTATTGGATTAGGTGTTGAGTTTCTAATTATGTGTCTCGGTTCGAAACTCTCATTTTCTCTCAATTAATGTAATAGTTTTGAACTCTTCCCTCACTCCTTAATAATAGTAATTTTTTCTTTTTTTTGAAAAGGACATGATAGAATGCATGTGAGGTAAGTTTTTATCTAACATTGGAAAGTTGAGTCTTATATTATGAGAAAAGTTTGGTCTATTTTCAATTAGTTTTGGAGTGCAACTTCAACTTTCTTCATGTAAGAGAAAGAAAAAAGAAACAAAGAGGAAATAATGAGTGATGGATTGCCCTGACATTCTTAGTCAACCAATTGTGTCTCAAGTTCAAATCCTTCTCCCTTCACTAGCGTAGATTAGTAGAGTTTTGTAATATACTTCAATATTTTTCTTTCTTGTGTTTTTTGGGAATCTAAATTTGGATTATTTCGGATGTTTGGTTAACTCAATTTTTTATATTAATTTTCAATTACAGGTTGGTACTTGGTTGCTTGACTTCTAAACCCTTTTGTTAGCTCATATGAGTAATTGTGTGCGTGATGTATTCTCTTTTGTTGTGATGGATTTTGGTTTGAGATTTTAGTTGGGATTCTTGTTTCTCACTAAGTCTACTTGCTTTGCTTTATATATAAATTAGTTGTCATTTGGGATTTGAATATTTGGGTCTCACTGTTTTTCAGGAATGGTCCCCTTGTGTTCGGTTAGGTCCACTAATCTATATATATATATATATATAAGGGGAGAAGACCCAATAGGTGAAGAATTTCAAAATGTCAAAAAAGTCCTTTTGCTTTCTTCACAATCAAACCTTCAAAAGTTCAAAAAACAAGGACAAATTGGTAAAAAAAAAAACCATAACTGAACAAAAAAAGGGTATTGGAAAAGAATAAATTTTTAAAAAAAAAAAAAAACAAAACAAAAGCATTATAGTTATCGAATACGAATCCGCACCGGATCCTCTTTGTGAGGTTTCCGGAGATCTGTCAATCGTGTCCGTTCATTATACATCATGCAGTCATAAATCATATTAAATTTATTTATTTAAAATCAAACACAAATAACACTTGACAAAAACTGATCGCATGATGTACGATGAACATACATGATTCACAAATCCTCAAGATCCTCACAAAGAGGATCCGGAGAGGATCCTGTTGGATAGTTATCCTCTAAAATTTAGCAGTTTTGTGGTTTAAAAAGTAAAACAAAGAAAAAAGTGCATCTAGTTCCTCATATATCTTATCTATATATAAAACTAGAACAACAAAATGGTGAAGCATTTCGAAATGCCAAAAATGCCACTCTGTTTTTTTTTTACAATCAAGTCCAAAAAAGAGTTTAGCTCACCTCCTCCTCTTTAGTGTAGAAAACATCGTTTGTTAAAAAAAAAAAGTCCAAAAAAATTCAAAAAAATAGGACAAACTGGTAAAAACTTATAGGGTAAATTACATAATACCCCCTCAGGTTTGAGGTCTATTACAAGCCTATACAACATCTTTAAAACATTTCACTTTCATACCTCACGTACTATTTAATTTCAAAATAATACATCCGTTAGATTTTCCATCCATTGGTCTGTTAAATGTTGACGTGGCTGCTACATTTGTACTGATGTGGCTGCCGGCTGCCACGTGGTAGAATTTTGTTTTTTGATACATTAAAAATATTATAATATTAACCCTATTAAAAAAAAAAAAACCCAAATCTAGATATCCTTCCCTGCAACCCCACATCCCATCCCCACCCCCTTACCCATATATTCCTTCCCGTCCGTCCATCCCCTCCACCCCTCCACCCCTCCATCCATCCCCTCCACCCGAGCACCCCTCAGTGCGGGTCCCACCTTAACCTCTTTCTCTCCCTTCCTCTCTCTCCTGCCTCACCTCCCCCAACCTCCTGCCATGTTTCTCGACTTTGACGACTCCTCGGGGGGCCAACCACCCAAACCCTTCTCCTCGACCCCCAAGCCCACCGCTTCCTCCGACTCCACTACCACTGCTGCCCACCTCCAGAGCTTCTCCGTCGACTCTGACTTTTTCGACGACCTGGGCAGGACTCTCTACGGGTTTAGGGGTTAGGTTATTAGGGTTTTGAAGTGGGGATTTTGTAAATGGGTTGGTTGGTGGGTAGAATTAGGTATGGAAGTGCTTCAATGGGGATGAACCGCGAGCTGAGCTGTGGATTTTGTAAATGGGAGTTGCAGAGAGGTGAGGGGGAAGGAAGGGGATCTGGGTTCAAGTATTTTTGGTTTTTTTTTTTTTCAATAGGGTTAATATTATAATATTTTCAATATATAAAAAATTATTATTTTTGCCACGTGGCAATCACATCTGCACAAATGTGGCAGCCATGTCAGCATTTAACAGACCAATGAATGAAAAATCTAACGGAGGTATTATTTTGAAATAAAATAGTACGTGAGGTATGAAAGTGAAATGTTTTAAAAATATTTTATGGGGTTGTAATAAACTTCAAACTTGATAGGGTATTATGTAATTTACCCAAACTTATAACCGAACATTTCCTATATTGAGAGCAAGAAATAAAAATAAATAAATAAATAAATAAAACGGAAATTAAACCGAATACTGGTAAAACAAGTCCACGTAATTGATAACTGACGAATGCAGTATTGGTAACTGGTCTTGATTTAAAATAAAAAAAATGAAAACACAAAGAGATAGATGCGGTAAAAACACCAATAAAAAACAAAATAAAAAAAATATTGGAAACTGAGGAAAGAACGTGGGAGAGAGACTGCTGTTTTCAAACTGCTTTCAGTTTACAGGCTCTCGTGTTATTGCTAATGGAATAAAAAAAAGAAAAAAAAAAGAAAGACCTAATACGTTTAGAATAGAACTGCTATTCGGCAGTTGCAGGCTTGAAGCGTATGAAGGAAACAGTTTTGTAGAACGATAAACGAGAACGTGCATGAAAATAAAAGCAAACGTGGGAGAGGAAGCAGTTTTGCGGGACATGTAAATAAAACACAAAATAAAATAACCTCAAGAGAACAAATTGAAATTGTTGTGCTAGAGCCTGGAGGAGAAGATCAAATTGGAGAAAAACCAACAACAACTGGTCGTTCTGTAATTATGAATTATTAAATTTGTGTGTTTTGTTCTCCCTCACAATGCTTCTTATTCCTTAATCTTCTCATGCATTTTCACAGGATTATTGAAAATTCTGCACGTTAATTGTAGTGGTTTGATTGTGGTTTTTGTTCTCTGCAGGTTTTTTTTTTCTCTTAACATATCAAATAAATCAATTGATAGGTTAGGCTTTCATTTTTTTTATTTTTCTTCACAGGACTTTTAAGGACATCCTCAAGTCACAGTGATGGAATCAAAGTCTTCAGTTTGGATGTTTTTTTCCTTCTCTTTTTAGAGTAATTTTTCGGGTTCGTTTCCCCAGTCCCCCCAAATAACAATAACAAATTGGCTTCTTCATATTTTC